TGGGAGTTGAAGTCCACTCATCTTAAAGTGGCCAAGTTTGGACAACACTGATCTATGCAATGGACTTATGATGTGACCATAAGTACAGTATTTGGTACCTTCTCTATTTTTATTCTAAATAATGCAGCTTCAGTGCTTTTATTATATTGCATATTATTTTAATTATTTTTGTACCCTATCCAGGCTTTCTTGCAAATGAAGCTCTCTTTTAAAATGTTAAATAACTAAGGAGTTGATAGCAAGCTCAGTGCTTACATCATTTCATGATTTTCTTTTGGGTGCTGGGGTCAGAAAAACCTACTCCTACATTCTTGAGGAACGTGACAAAAGCAGTTGACCCATAATCTTGACCTGCATAAACCTTACCCTTAGTATCAATCCTTGAAATGGTTGATAGGTTATTCTCAATCCTGTGTTCTTTCCTAAATAACATTTACTTGAAAAGTCTGTCAGGTGTAAATGCTCCTACGACACATGATCTTTCCGTTTATCCAAATCACCTAATTCAGTCTTTGTGAAGCGAAAAGCTGTAGTCTAAAAATGTTAATATTGCTAGACACCTGATAAGACTAATTCCATGAGCTTTTATGAAAATTGGGGATTTCAAAACATCTTGTTCTCTAACAGCACAGAATTACTGACCAATGTGAAGAGTCCCTTAGACCAATTATTATTATATTAAATTAAATTGAAACTCGGAAATACCACCATAGTTCTTATCTATCTGTGACAGTCCTATGGCTTTAGGTGATCCTGAACTAGTAGGAAAGTTAACTGGGAGGTGTGCAAATCTAAAATCCTCTTTCTCCTAGCATCCCTTTGGAAAAGTGGTTTCTTCTGTCTGAGAAACAAATCTTAGGGAAATGCTATCCACCTGTCATGAGGAAATGTAATTATAACCATTTATGTAAAGTATCTTACGCTTCCTAAAGTGGAATACAAAATGAAGTGAGCAATAAGTACACTTTCAGAGTGATCACATAACTTTTTACTTTATAAACATGCTGTGTTGACAAGAGCTATGATATTGATACAGCTTTTAATAGGGAAGACTTCAAGGCTCACCTAAAGCTAGAGCAGGGGTGCTAGAAGGGAATAGGAATGCACAAAATGTTTGGAATCAAACCATGTGAAATTCAAAATGCCCGCATTTCTAGAATGAAACATCCTGCTTCAAATGCGAAAATAGCTACTTTGAATGGAAACATCCTCTTTGATATATCACCACAACAGGATTTCAGTGACACAGGGTCACTTCTGAGGAGGCACCATATCTAGTAAATACCACCTTACTAATCATGACAGGTATGCAGAAAGATCCCCAGAGCAGGTCTCTGCATGGGTCAAAGATGCAGGCAGCCCCTTAGATATCCTTTGTCCCTCAATAGTCTGGGACATGGTCCTACTGGCACAGGTACTTCCTCAGATTGTGATAGCAACTGATCATCTATTTCTTAGTTCCATGAACCTCAATGCACTGTTAATTTAAAAAGTTCAAGTACTTTTTTCAACATTTAATTCTTTATTGACACACATTTTAAATATATAAAAAGCAGATATAAGACCATTATACAAAGGTGATTATAATAAATCAAACAAGTTAAACTAAACATTGCAGATTAAATGAATACACTAAAAAGAACTGATTACGGCACATCAAGAGTGATTTCACTAAACAAAGTGGCAGCAAAAGAATGAAATTTAGATGGTGATTGGGATTTGGTTGAAATTTAACAGAATAAATAATTTAAGGAGAATACATATGTGTGTGTGTGTGTGTTTATTGTGGGTGCATGCATATAAAATGAAATATATATTTAACTGGAGAGAATGAAATAATGGGTTCAGGAGAGGAGAGGATTCTTCTTTGGAGTACACTTACTTGCTGGCTGTAATGGATGGGTAATTTTGTACATAGCCAGTATTTTCCACCTATTATCAAATAGTTAATTTGGAAGGTCAGTGAGACATTTTCCAGAATTACCCAGTTATTTCTAATCAGTGAATTAATAAAACTTCAGCTAGCCAAGCAAAGAACATTTTTGACAGATACTCCTAAACCTCTGCACTGAAGGACACTCCTGCCACCAAAGATTTCCAGTAGAGTTGATTAATCAAACGGAGTCTTGGGGGAATTATATAGGAGTAACTGAGAACTTGATATAGTTTCTCTGTCCATTTTGACAGTATAGCAACGTCTTCTGAATAGATCACCAACCATTCCAAATTCTGGTCCCACTCCATCTCCAGCACAGGAATCTTTTTCAGAAGGAGGGTCAGAAGACTATTTTGTATGACCGACTGAATATTTATCGCTGACAATGTAGCTGTTCCCATGAAGGTCTCAAAAGATATGAGTTTTCATTTGCCAGTTGGTTAAGAAAGTAGTAGAACAATAGCTCAGTTTCCTTCAGGATATCTGCATAGGAAAAAAGGTGCTAGAAGTATTCTTTCCTTTGAATGTTCTTTTTTAGCTGCCTGATATCGTCATTATTCTTCCACAGATGTGTGTCGTTAATGAAAATACAATTCAGAATTGCAGTGCCTGGGGCATTACTGAAGGTTCAACTACTTCTATGTGCCTGAAAACTCTGAGAAAACATAGTGACCTCAAAAGTGCATACATGGAGAAGATTTGGGGGAAAAAACCTGTGCCCAGATAAACCTGACAGCTGGAAACAAAGGATTTTTCAAAAGGAGCAGATCCTCTTTAGACAACCATCTGCACTGATAAAAGAATTGGAAGCACAGTCCCAGACCATATTATTCACTGCTCTATTTAACCTATTTTTACACCATCTTTCCATTAACAAAAGAAATTAATTAACATTACCTAGATAATGTCTGAAGATTTGCACACAGCACAGATGAACAAGGTTACAACCATCAAATGAAGAACATTTTCCCATGCCAGTGATAACATAAGAAATATATAGTGGGCCACAGTTATCAATTAAACCATAACAACAGATTGCAATAGCATAAGGTTTAGGAATCTTTGTTATAGAATACCTACACGGATTGGGCTTCTCGGAAATGTGCCATTGCAAACTCCTTCATAGTGTAGTGGCAAACATCTAGAGGGTTCATAGGTGTGCTAGGGGTGGTAACTTCTGACTCTGTGCTGGGGATAGAATTCTGAAGAGACAGAAAATCAAACATCAGAGAACTGGTACTCAAAAGATTGGTACTGAAGAATTTCATCTCATGATACTCATATTCCATCTCTTGCATGGTCTTCATACTCTGCAGTCTCTGCTGATGATTTGCATTTCTTCAGCAACAATACAGTCTCCTCCCTTCACTTTCTTGTATGACTAATCCCATCGGTCTCTGCTGAACCCTTACCTCCTTGTTAACTATTCTGTCCTGTGTGTTTTTCTTCCAGCCTGTTCGGACTTCTTCCTGTTGATTCATGTGAAGGTTGAGGTAATCAGGAGCTGCCACAACCTGCACCATTCCAGAAGGGAAAAGGCCAGAGCGCCCGCCAATAGAACCAAACTGCCAACCTGAACAGAAAAGATTGAAATTAGGCTAGCCAACTTCTACATACATTGTATTTGCAGCTTATTTCCCATAGGGCAGTCTTTCCAAACTCGAATACCCTGCAGATGTTTGAGCTTGAACTCCCCAGAGTTCCTCAGCCAGCAGAGCTATTGAGAACTGTGACTGTCACAAAAATGAGCCAATCAGTGCTGTGTACTGATTGAAGCAACAGTGCGTGCATTGTCATTATGGGCTCTTGACATCAGTTATTCTTGGCTGGATGATTTAGCAGAATTGAGTTCATGATGGGCAGGCACATTACTAAGGATTCAGTAATGTGTAAGAACTCTTTCAACAATAGCAGCCATATCTGAATTTGAAACACCCTGTTTTGAGCTTGAAATGGCTTGTTCTGAGTATGAGATAGCAGGGCAAGAGATACCCTTTTGAACATACTAGAAGTGTTTGTGAGCTCAGAAGAAGTTAAGAAACCTGTCTGAGTTTGAAACAATTCTAAAATGCTAAAACTATTTAATGTAGTTGGCAATCCTTGAAGCAGCTGTTTCACTCTTGACAATGGGCATTTTGAGTTTGATAGAGGATACTTTGAATTCAGAATGGTTTGAATCTTTCTTACCTGGCTCCAGTCCCTTCATGGGAAGTAGTCGAATGAAATCACCTTTCTTGAAATTTAAGAGGCTCTTGTCATCTGTGATATAGCTACGCATAGCAATGACATAGTTGGAATCCTTTTGGAAGGACGGGGGAGGAAAAACAGAGGTAAGGGATTGCAATTATTGTGACAAGAGCAATCCCTGTCCTCTACATCAGACAAGGAAGATCCATGGCTTGCAGGACGCTCTTGCACTTACCTGTTTCAGTTCTTTCAGGAAGATTTCCACTGTAACCTTAACCTGCTGGGCTTTTGGAGAGTGAAGTATGAGCTGCTCATTCTTCAGAGAGAACTGAAGGATATTCCAACCTATCAGCTCCAAGGAGAGCACATCTGCAAAACTGAAAAAGCCAGAGAACGTAATTTGCCTTTGGCTTTCATCCTTGGTTTAGCTCTTCAGCAGATACTTTACAAAGCCTGCTGGGATAATTTTTGTTGGGATATGCCTCCTAAGCTCTCAAACAATACCTGAAGTTAGAAGAAACCTTATACTAGCGAAAAGTACCAAGACAGAGGCCATCTATCTGCTCTCCCTTGTCTCAGGTTATGAACCTGTATTTATTGATCTCTCTAATCTGCACCAATGCAATCTAGACCTCATGGTGCTGCAGCAAAGAGAACTTGCAGGTTGAATAGCTCAAGATGATTCTGGCAAGTGAACCAAGCCATGAGTTGAATGAGAAGATCAAAGCAAGACAAAATCTGTTTTGGAATATTTGAGTGTTTAAATTGAGAGAGAGAGAGAGAGATGCACATGCAGAGGACTAAAGTAGGCATTGCTCACAAGCATAAAGTCTAGTAGGGTAAGGAATAAAAAAGAACTCAGAAGAAGAAACGAAATGTTTCGGTATAGCTATAAAAAGCCGTAGGTCTTCTGAAGTCTGTTGGGAATTGATGTGCTGTGCAAATTCGGGCCACAGAGGACTTTTCCACTAAGCAGAGCCAGGTGACACTCTCCCACATGCAGCCAGCTGGGCTGCATTATCTGCCGCACTCACACCCAGCATTTGTTTTCATCTTTGCCAGGTCTGTGGAGTGCCTAGAATGAGTCCGTTGTATTCTAAGGGCAAGGAGGCAATGGCCTCCCTTGTGTATTTAGAAAGCAGTACTATATTGGATTTTGTTGCCTCTCACCTAAAGCTGCAAAGGATTTTCAGATGTTTGGGACTGAAACTGGCTTCTTTGGATTTCTTCAACAGCTGCACTCCCCGGTGAGAAACACCCAGTATCTGGACATCACTTCCATTTTCTCCCTGTCAGGAAGGGAACAGCAGCAGCAACAAAATGGTTGACAAAATGGTTTCCATGGTTTACTCAGGCAGAAGGGAAGCCTTTGTGAGGAGAGAAGCAGTCACTCTGGCGGACAATCAGCAGGGCCAGGCTCTTTGGACTGACTCCAATGACCGAGGAAAGCTGCAGCCTCTTGCTCTCCTCCAGTCTTTTGGGCACGAAGAAAGAGGGAAGCAGAAGAGGCAGGCCAGGCCACCCCTGACAAATGATTCCCCCAGGAATGCTGTCATTGATAGAAAAAAAAAAACCCGATCCCTACCTCTTCTCATTCTGAGTTTCGCAGTTTTACCCATGCAGATTAAACGAGACGATGGGACAAGAGAAAAGTCCAGGTGAAGAAAAAATGCACACTATAGTAAGCCACATGTAGTTTACCTGGAAGTATAGGCAAACCCAACCAATAATGATTCATTCTATAAACCATACTTAAACGAAGTATAGTAGAGCAATGGATGAATTCAGCCAGTGTGGTGTAGTGGCTAAAGTGCTAGGCTAGAAACCATGAGCTCTAGTCCTCCCTTAGGCAAGGAAGCCAGCTGGGTGCCTTTGAGCCAGTCATTCTCTCTCAGCCTGGCCCACCTCACAAGGCTGTTGGTGTGGGGGAAATAGGAGGTGGGAGCATTAGGCATGAATGCTGCTTTGAGTTGACAAAAAAAATAAAGAGAGGATAAAAAACTAATTAATAAATAAATAAGAGTGTTCTGGAGACTGGCTTAAACATGGTGGCCGAAAACTTCCTGGTGTAGTAAAGCTTCCCCACACAGTCCACATACCCACCATCAGATTTCAACAAGATCAGCCTTCATTCACAGGCAACCCTATGTGACAGAGATCCTGGTCCAGAGGGCTGCCATGTTACTGACTTACTCATAACAAGTGAAGCCCTTAGGAGGAAGAAGCCCCTGAATCTTAGTGGAAGGACCATAAAAATGATTGTCAAGTTATGGGAGGCTGAGATAGGCTCACTTACTTTTACTGGAAAAAAGCGAGAGAAATAGCTGGCCCAGTTATCACGAGCAGCCACCACAATTCTTTTCTTTACCCCTTCTTCTGTAATGGAGTTGACATCCATGCCCACTTGGAATTCCGCTGCCAGCAACAACACAGAAGAAAAATTGAATCAGCAGAGTCAGGTTAGGGTTCAGTCCCTGATGGAAGCAAGCTACAGAGATGACTAAAGCTAACACACTTAGGAAGCAGCATCAAAGAATGCCCTGTTTCCAACAACAGTCTGCAAGCAGGGATCTGATGTTCTGCAGCCAGCATTAGAAAGCCTTCTGTTGGAGCTGATGATAGCCCATTGATTTGCATTAGATTGTTTTAATAATCTAAAGCAATCAGATATTTTATCAGAAATTCGTGATTTGGGGATGGCAATGGCATTTGGGAATCTTTCTCCTCCTTTTTCAATGAGAGCCCATCAGAATCTGAAACAGGAGGGAGGTCCAGCAGAAGGAAATGAGCAAATGCTTGTGGGTGTGAGAGGTAGCAGTTTTGTAGCTGAAGGGAGGAGAAAGAACTGCATGTTTCTAAGAGAAACTGTGGGTGTAACTTCAGAGGGCTACCCGTATTGTTTCCTGGGGGATGTTCTGTCTTTTAGAAGTGCTTGTTTGCTTCCACTTATCGCTTCAAATAGAGCAAATACGACAAAGACATTTTAAACCTCTACACCAAGGAATTCACACCAAGGAAACAAATCCCGATCGCGCTGTCCCTAGAAATTTTCTCCTCGTTTGGAAAAAGTAGGGATGTATAACAATACATAATAAGGGTTTAGTTCAGTATTCCTCAACCTTGGCAGCTTGAAGATGTGTAGACTTCAACTCCCAGAATTCCCCAGCCAGCATGCTGGATGGGAAATTCTGGGAGTTGAAATCCACACACCTTCAAGTTGCCAAAGTTGAGAAATACCGGTTTAGCCTGTATAACTGCAATGAGGTTAGGTTGAATCAAGTAAACTTGGACATATGCATGCAAAATATGGTAGCAGGAAGTACTCTGAATTGTTATATTTGTTGACTGGGATCATTTTGGGTTATGTACGACAGCGCTACCTCTTCCCAACTTCTCTGGAGTGGAGATGCTGAAGAATTATTTGCAGGAAGGAGATTTTATCGCCCAAATGGAAGAAAACCATAATGCCATGTTGCCATTGGAAAGGAGCTAGACTGGCAGCTGAATCTTCTTTTGATGGAAGTGATGCAATGCAGCAATGCCCTCCATAGTACCCAAAGCAACAGGCAAGCTCCGGGGGTAGACAACAAGTTGTGTGCCATTGACAGTTCTGTCTTCCAAAGGAAGTTATCTAATGGAAGGAGAGTCCTGAACATCTGGACCTGGGGGGCTGAGTAGGAATTCATTTGACACAACGCTGTTAATTATTTCAGCCCCTAAACCCAGTTATCACTGAGTGAGGAATACTTCAGAAGTGGCTTATTTGTCCTAGCAGGAGAATCTTAGTGGGTTCTGTAATAGGTTATGTGAAGGCAGAACATTGCAGGGTGCTCTAAACATATCACAGTTCCCGTAACTCTAATGAATAAAAGACTTCCAAACAATTCTGCAGTTTTAGACAGAAAGTGCAGGCCTCCAAGATACTTGAGGACTACGAACAGTACGCTGCTTGCTTACCTAACAGATCTTTCATCTTGCGCCTCTCCTCTTTGGAAAT